TGTCCATAAAATAGCTAGAAAAGTTCTTGAAATAATAATTCAATTCAGTTCTACAGTGAAGCACCTCATACTTCACCAAGCTGTCTGGAACATCTCCACTGGTCTTGACTTTGTAGATACTAGGGTAGAAGCAAAGCTTAATTTATGGAACTAAAATTTTCATTTGATATTACTGTCTTTATTTGAGGCGATGAAATCTCCCATACATTTTAGCCTGAAAATAACTTCCTAAAATGGCTGTTCATTCTATTTCTACCAAAAAAAGCAATAATTGCGAAATCTGAAATTGAGAATATATTGGTGATACGTGCAGCTAATTGACGTGAACTTAGTCTGCAGTGTACTTGTGCATTATACTTGCTATGGATCGAAAATATACTACATCAGAAAATTCTGTGGCAAAATACGTTTAATGTAAGCATATTATGTAGATATAGATATATGTATATACATATATATGTGCAAAATCTTCGATCAACAATCATGTCTTAGACTAGGTATATAACTAAGCAACCTAAAAATGAGATCATTACAAGTACATTTAAAATTCTTTTGAAATGGTAATGCTTCAACTACAATAAAATATGATTTTCTGAGGTTATTTTCATCCCATTAATTGTTCATCTCTTTGTGACCTTAAGCCAACATTTTGCTAGGATTCGTGTTTCTGTCTAGGGGGTTTCAGATTGACAGGTTTTCCATACACACATTCAAAATCCCTAGAGGAATGGCATATGGAAGCAGAAACTGATTAGGATGGAGGGTTGGGGTAGGGCTGTGCATTCATTCTCAGCTTTAAGACGAAATACAGTTTGATAGCTATGTCTTACTAGATGCTAGAACACTGACCCATAGCATAACAAGATGATGCAGGATTACTGTTCTTACTGCTTTAAGAAAATTAAACAAGGCTTCAAATAGTATCTGACACAAAAGACTGGAAGTAATGAAATTCGGAATAAATATTATAGTTTTATATTAAATGTTGACGGTCAACTTTATATTAACTGCATGAAAGAGAGGGAAAACATTAAAAAGCAATTAATTGGAGATTTTTATATTTAAAACACATTGAATATTATTCACTTAAATCACAATGTTATGAGTGGTGCAGGCATGCCATTCCTGTTGTTCTATTTAGGCTGTTAAAAACAAAATCTGTGGTGATAATCTCATAATTCTGTGTCTAACAAATGCTAATATGATTCCTAATTACCTTTCTAAATTCCTTTAAAGCAATACAATGAAAACACTTTAAATGTTGTCTGCCTTTCATATTAATGCACACATGCAAAGATACATTTTTTTCTTAGGCAGTAAAGCCATGTACAAACATAAATAGATTGTAAACAGTGGTAACATTTGCAAAATTATGGTTTTGATTCTATGTGACTTGTGAGCTGTCAGCTGCAGCAAAGCATGAAAGAAGTACCAGTTACTTCTTTACTCTTTTTCAAAATTGCTTTGTGTTAAAAGGCTAATAACTACAGTTGTGATTAAAATTGTCCTTTGTATATGTGAAGTCCCCACTTAGAATTGCAGCTCTTTTTTCTAATGTTTTATAGTAATTTGCTGCAACAAAACAGTTGCACTTAACTGCACTATTGTTTAGAGAACTGTATGCCTTCCTTCAACTCCTCTATTTGATTATGTCTAAGATGACTTGGAGGCACCATTTACTTTTGGGTAACGTTTAAGAAGACAACTTACAATTTTGTAAGGGTTGGTGAAAAATCAATAATACCTGATGTTCTCATAACATGCCTCCAGTGTGGAAGGTAAGTTGAGGGTGAAAGGTTATTTTCTTTGAATTAAGTAGGGAATCTTGTAATATATGCTGAAAGTGCTCAATTTCTTGATGGACAAGAGATTTGAAATATAGCCTATACATTCTATAAACATTCCACTGTTTACTCCTAACAATCTGAATGGTCAATTAATTTTAAGTTTGAGACATTGGATTATGTTTTCTAAAATTGTATCTGAAGAAGTAATCTATCTGTCACAAAAAACATATTCTAAAGTTGCTTCTTTTTTTCTTGTCTTTTTATTCTGAAAGTTGCATCTTAACAGTGAAAGAACACAAAGTTTAACTGTACAGAAAAATTGAAGCTGTACACAGATCGGGACTGAAATGAGACAAGAAAAGAATTTCTATTAAAAAAAAAAGGTCAAACATAAAGCAATCCTTTATAAACCTTTTTTGAACATGATTTTGAAACATGTGGTAAAACTCTTCCTTTCAGAATGTTGGCATCAAGTGCCTGTATCTTCTTTCCTCTTGACTATTGATTGTAATCCTGTTCCTACTGATAATATTTAAAAATTTATATCCTTTGGTAAGTGTTTGCAGATATTTGCAAAAAGTTTTGGTGGATTGATGCATCTTGAAAAGGATTCACTCTGTTGTGTCACTCTTGTTAGATGTCTTGGTAAAAAAAGACAAGAGACACAATCCTGAAAGTGTGAAGTGCTTACATCTTCTTCAACTCACAAGGATTTTGTTCCTCAGAAAGTTTCAGTTAGGTCTTTGATTTCAGAGCTGAGAGCAATATCTTGTCTAGAGGTGGTGTAACACTGAGTGTTGCAGCACCTCTGAATGGATTCCCCATGAAATTCCTAAGTTATGTTCTAGGCTAATAATAATAATGATGATGATGATGATGTCCTAGGTTTTCCACATAGGAAAATGTCAAGATCTGCAAGCCTTAGCAATTTAGCCTGTAAGCCATTAGGAAATACTAAATTAAAACTTCCCCTATTGAAATATTTCAGGGTTGATTTTAGATTCATGATCACAACTGCAGTTCTGATGTTAAGCAACAACACTTTCTTAAAAAAGATAAAAATCTCTAAGGCAATTGAATATTTTCTTTTGAAGTACAGCTGAATAAGAAGGGGTACAGTTTCCTGCTTTTTGCACAATGCTAAGCAAAGATACCTTATGCATGAGCATTCATTTAGAAATTTTAGCCACCTCATTCACAGAATGAAAGCCATAAATTCTCTCTTGTATGTCAGTCCAGTGCACTAGAACATTTTTAAGAGGAATTGCTAATGAGTGTCCATTGCTGAAGTCACTCCAACCAGAAATGCCAGCCAGAAATGATGAAATTTCACCTTGAACTTTAGTCTCCAAAGGACTTTTACTTGGCTCTGCACCAGAGAGATATTCCTTCCTCTCTTTTGGAATCACACCTTAAACTTTTATAAGTTGTAGGTGGCTAAACCCTTTCTGTCCTAAGTTGGGTAGGTGTCATACCTTTATTTCAAACTCAGCAGAGGAAAGGAATGATTGAAAGGAAGAGCATCACAGCAAAAGTAAGACTACCCTTTCCTTCCCACATGCCTATTCCATTATTCATGCCAAGGATTAGGGAAGACATCTTTTGCTCAGGATTTGGGGTACTGAGGTTCAGTTCTAACCCATAATTGAGACAACTCATGTTTACACTCTTGCACTAAACAAAATTTTACATTAAAATATTGAAGCTGCCAACTAAACAGGAACTACCAGTGAAGCCTTTCCTCTGCCATTGTGTGCTCTAATCCCTGTGTGCCACACAGGGATCCTTCTGTGTGCCACACAAAAGAAAATTGTGTCTGCCACATGTTCTTCTTTAGCAGTTACCATTTTTTTTTTGAGGAGCTTGATTTCTTACGTCTTTTCAGAGCACATCTACTGGATTAATGACCTGACGTGTGGACTAAGCATCCAGGCATCCAGGACTAAGCCAAGCACCAATGCATTTAGCAGAATTTCTACTGAGTGTTTCCAAATGGCAAACCTATAAAGTTTATTGTGGAAAATCGAGTGCTTTACTGCTCAGACTGCTGTCAGCCCTGGAGGTTGGAAGCTGAATGCAGATTTTAATAAACAGTCTTAAATTAGGCTCCCAAAGAACTAAGTAGGGTGAGGTGCTTAAATATTTTCTGGAAAAAAATCTCTCTAGGTTTGCATGAATAATGGGTATGTAATACTTTACAAATAAAGCAGAGTTCTTGATTTGGGAGATAAATTAGAAAATTTTATTTTGCTTATGATCTATCACTATTCACACAAAATCAAACAATAATCAAGAGATATTTACAGTAATTCTAGGTGCTCTGCATTTTTTTTTTTTTTTTTTTAAATTTCTGCAGATCCTCTCCCTGGACAGGAGATTAGTTATTAAGAAAGCAAAATGCAAAGGGCTAGATTATACCTCACATTTGCTTTGGGTGAGAACAATTGTCAGAGGCTTGTCATAACATCTCAGGCTCTGAGGGAATAAGGGAGATTTTATTTTACTTTTCAAGTTTCTTGCACTGCAAAATGGAAAAAGGGCTTTAAGTATCTAGCTTTTGACTAAAACATGTTAATAAACTGGTTTTCTGATAATATGCTTTTCATAAAGATCAGTGAAACTGAATATTTTTTGAAAATATATACTCCAAAAATGATAGTCATTAGTGGAAGAAGTGTTTAGATACAGAAAATATTAAAAATAATGGAGTAGATACTTGTTTTCATTAATGGGTTGCCATTTTAACAGTATTTAAAAAATAATTTACGTAAACTTCCAATATTAATGCTTGCTGATTTGTTGAGGAACAGCTATTTAAATCATATAGAAATTAAAATATTATCTTGAAATATGGGCAAGGGGATTCTACTGAATACCTAATATACATATTACATTCAGATGCTATCCTGTAAGGCGAACCTATGTTAACACAATATCTGTTTGAAGTATTTTTATGTATCACATGCTTCAATAGCCAGTAGCTGCCAGATAGATAATTGTAGAGACAAGGTGAGTTTTTCTATGAGTCATCACAGCTTGGTAAGTAATTTTAATTATTATGTGATGCATATTTAAAAGACATCAATTTATTATGAACTTCAGGCTGAGACAAGCAGGACTGATGAGGCTGTGCCAATAGAGTGAATCTGCTTCTAGATATTGCAGCTAGACATTTCTTACTTTTTTTTCTTCTTCCTCTATTTCCCTCTGTAGAGGTCCTTCTGTAGCGCCATGGTAGAGGAGCTAAGGATGTCTCTGAAGTGTCAGCGTCGATTAAAACACAAGCCACAGGCCCCTGTTATCGTGAAAACAGAAGAAGTTATCAACATGCACACGTTTAACGACAGAAGGCTGCCGGGTAAAGAAACTATGGCATAGAGTTGGGAAGCCAAACACCCCAAGCACAAACTGTCGTCTTTTTTTCCAAACAACCTTGCAAGAATGTTTCCTGTGGAAATATGCAACCTGTGCAAAATAAAATGAGTTACCTCATGCCGCTGTGTCTATGAACTAGAGACTCTCAGCAGTTGCAATGGCCAGACTCGAATCACAAGCATCATGGATCAACAAAGTTATATGGGGTTACACTGTTCGTCATGGGTTTCCACCATTCTAAATGAATGAATGTTCCATGTGAGTTTTGTGGCTGGTTTCAAATGCAGTCTCAGTGAGAAATTACAGGTTCCTTTTGAAGTTCAAAGGTTGCCAGGAGGCGGAGAATAAATGTCCGCAATGATACTAACCACGGAAGGAGTCTAGTAAAAATAACATCTCAGAACTGTAGTGGAACAAGAAACCGTATGTTCTTCTGAACTTCCAAGCATAGAAGAGTTGGTAACTGCTGGTAGACTGAAACTACCATCTGGACAGGTCATACGAGCTTTCTGTATTGGAAAAATATTAATGTGAAGTAACATGAATCCCATGAAAAGAAGGATAAATATGTGGATGCTCACCTGTTTTTTGGACTGTCTGTGTCACTGAACTGAGTAAATAAATAATAATTAAAAAAACCCAAACCAGTAACTTAAATTTACCTGGGTTGGAACTTTGATCTGAAAAAAAACCCACGTATCCATAATTTTGACCCAATTTTTAGATGAATGAAAGTTTCCTTCGTACAAAAGAATGTATCTTGCAATCTTTAGATATAAACAAATACTTTTTTTCTTTAATTGTGAAAAGAGGGAGGGGGGTGGGAAGCAGTGTATTTCACACATAGAGGGCTTGCATTTTAGCCTGAATGAGTTCTGGATCCCTTGTTCCTGCTACTAATTGAACTCAATGGAGCCTGTGCAATTCTCGCTAATATTGGAAGTGGGATGGGTCACGTAAAAGAAATGAATGTGGAGAACTTTAAGGAGGACTGCATTTTTCAATACAGTCACAGTACTAAATGAACAAAATTCTTGAGCAGTTTTTTTTTTTTTCAAAAAAAAAAAATGTTCAGGTTTATTTGTGGAAATGCAAGATTTCTATGAAAATAGTTTTTGTATGGAAATTTTTGTAATACTTTTTATCAACAAAATAAGAACATGTGTTTCTGTCGGGGTGTGATGCCAAGCATGAATGGTAGTGCGTGTGCACCACCAACGTTTGGTGAAAACTATTTTTATCAAGAAAAAGGAATCTTAGAAGAGACATATTTTCAAGTTAGATAATATAAAAAATAGGTGCACTACCACCACTGCTTACCATGCTACACCCCTGGTTTCCACTAGGCTGATAACATGTTGTCATGAACAATTGTGTGTAAATGGTAAAAGACACAGACCTCTTGACCACATTGTGATAACAGTTAAAGTGCACTCAGTTTGCTGTTTGAATCCAATGCATAAAATTAAAAAAAGAAAAAAATTAAAATTATGTCAGTTTTAGTTGTTTTCGTTTTTGGTTTTTGGGTTGTGGGGTTTTTTGTTTGTTTGTTTGTTTCCCTGTGTGATTTGAGCAACACAGAGTACTTTCTGTCAGTACTGGTACCTAGTTTCAGCATAGTGCCCTATCCTGCTGTTTCTTGCCACTAAACATGTGGCCAGAGAATTTGCTGGGATTTCTGAAGGAAGCCAGTACACCACATCGTGATAATTTTTTGCAGGATCTGGCTGTTATCTGCTTCAAAGCTAATTTATATGTCCTGTCTGTGGTGAGTTCCCAGACATAACATTTTGAAATACTGCCATACAGACGGTGAATCTTGCACCTACATCCACTCTAAGTTTATTTGTATCTCAAGAAAAAATGTATAGGGTGGGCTATGTAGGAATGTTATGTCAACCAAAAAAAGATTATGAAGATGGTCTTTATATGGAAAATAATTTATTTAACTAAAAGGCTTTTAAAAATTATCATAGATAATCAGTCATTGGTGAGTAATGACTTCGTTTATTTACTAGGGCTTAATTCAATCATAATATTTTAGCATAGGAGTGTAAGTTATATAATTCAAATTGTAGAAATTATCACATGAAATCTGGGGGGAAGGGCGAGGTTTGTGTCTACTACCCAGTTCTCATAAATCTTCATAGAGACTGAGCTGGCCATTTCCATTTTGAACAGGAACTGAGAAAGTAAATTCTCTTATATTTGTGAGAATTTCATCCCCATTTATGTGATAACAAAGAACAAGCTATCTTTGTCTGAAGTATAAAAAAGACAAAAACACATTCAGCAAGATTCAGAAAATGATTATATTTACATCATACATATTTTAAGTTAATTCTTTATAATAAAAGGGAAAGCAAGTAACTGTCATAGAACACCATGAAAACTCCTAATTGTGATGGCTTGGAATGGGAAAAATTTGGCTATTGCATTTGATTGATAATTTACAATAAAATTTGTAAAATCATTTAATAAAATTCTGTATTACATTCAAAAAATCCTTTCTTTTCTCCATTAAGGGTGTTGAAATAAGCAGGATTCCATTCTCACGTTGATGCATGTAACTAATACTCATTAAGCTTTATGTGAGCCAAAGTAAGTGTGAATGCAGTATATGTCCCAAATGCTTATTGGGTCAAAATCCCCCAAGGAACAACAAACCCAACACAGTAGTTTGGCTTTTTCAGTGAGAATTTCAGCCTTCCATTATTAAAGGGAAATACGCAAAGTAACTGGAGATCTGTATTTAAGATCAAGACTATAAATGCATGGCTCCACATATTCATAGTAGGACAATGGCTTTATTTAAAAAAAAAAAAATCATAGACTAATTCAATCTTTTACTTTGTTGTGCATTAGTAATTATTTCTGTATTTTTCACAGAAAATTAAGACTTTTAAGGAAAAATGTCTAACAAAGGGTTGACCCCCACAATAGTAGAAAAAACTACTGATAGTTTTGTACTCAAAAAAACTCAAGAGTTCATTTTCCCTTCACTATTGTGAAGGAAATCCTCAGCTCTGAAGAAAACTTGAATTTTAAAAGGCTTCTGAAAGGCTAGTCCCAATTTCTCATGTAGTATAAATATTTGTAGTGTCATTCAAATCAACAGAACTACACTTGATAAAATCAAATTACTATCTGGCCCGTGATGTTTCAGAATCTGTGCATAACTGCTTTATGTGGTTCCATATAATAGCTCAATTATTCTGTTGATTTCCCAGGACAGGATGATGGGTGCTTCTCTGACTGACCTTGAATGTCACTCCAGAGAAGACTTTTAAAACAGTTATAAAACTCAGTTATATGGTGCTAACTGGTGGATGTCAATTTGAGGTAAAAACTGAACAGGACACTTTTTTTTTTTTTTTTACTGAGTCGGTTGCAAGGAAGATAGATGTCTACAATCTTTAGGGGTTCTCAAGACACACAATTTAGACCTTCAGGTTGCCTCAGCATGGTTCTATAGCAATAAATAAATACATGAATATTACAGAATAAATGAAAAATAAACCAAAACCAATCCTTAGTTTATTGATAAATATCCTTTGTGAAGGACTGGTAGTGAAATTCTGAGCCAAATAGTTGGATGAAATCAAGAGATATGTGGTGCTTTATAGTAATTATTGATTTGCCCAATTATAGACAAGAGCAGACCATTTCATGGTATTTTCCTATTACATAAACACAAATACAAACATATCCAGGGACTTTCTGGCAGGTTTTGTATGAGAGATTACTTTCTGAAGTTTTTCTGTCAATTTTCATTTGAAGAATTTTGTATATGTTTGAAACAACCTTTTCTTTCATGTTTATATTACTTGAGGCTCTGTGCATTAATCCTTCCTGGTTTCATCCATTGTCTTCCAAAAAAAACCCAAAAAACCCAAACAACCCAAAAAACAACCCACAGTTTAGCCCTACGATATCAATTAGTTAATATTTCAGAATGGAAAAGACATGAGTTCTGAATAAAATAAACCACCAAAATCCAAAGCCTCTAGTAGAAGTAGGAGAAATATCCTGTTAGTCTACAAAATAAAAATGTTTTCAGGGAAAAAGGGTCATGTGCAGAGATAACGGCATACGAAGAGGTAAAAGATAATGTTATAAAATATTAAAAAAATTATTATTATATTAAGGATATTAGGAAAGTATTTAAAGTACACAGGACAACCTCACTTAGTCTCGGAATACATTAATGATAACAAGTCCAAGTCCATTAATGATAACAAAATACGATGATTGAAAAGCTGACCACTTTAAAAGCACTGTCAAAAGTCACACAATCAGAGTCAAGATTTTGTCCAATACATGCCCAAATGTGTACTGATACAATATTAAAGACCTCAGCCCAATGAGTATTGATACAATATTAAAGGCCACATAAGATAGCAGCCTGCATTTAGGTGTACAGGAGCAGTTGTGGGTTTTGTCTTTTTTTCCAAGATGTGTAGGAAAAGAAAGGGTCGCTGAGGTTGTCTTGTCTGACATCCAAGATCATTGCTTTCCAACCTCAAATATGTTAGTATCCTCTTCCCTTCCAGTGTTGCCTCTCTGCCTTCCTACAAGAACCTCTGACACTTTCAAATTTATTTTCAAAACCATTTTCTTCTGGCTTTCCTATAAAATGTAGTTCTAATTAAAAATAAAGTTACTGAAACACCCCATTTCCCCAGTTTGTATTCACCAAGATAAACACACTAGCTTTTCATGTGACTGTAATCTAATTGTCCTTTTCATTTATTATCCTTCTCTGTCCCCTGGCTGTGTTATCTTCTCCTGTTGTTCTTGTACTTGCCTAGACTGTAAGCTCTTAGGGGGCAGGGAATCTGTCTTTGATTTGTTCTATGTAGCACCATGAACTATGGAGCTATATAAATAATAAAAAAGTAGATCTTCTTAAATGGTGTTTGAAGTGATAGTGATCTAATTGACTGCCAGACTAGTAATATGTTGTTTTAGCTCACTGCCTGAAATGCTAATCACTAAAGCAATAGAATAATCAAAAAAATAAAAATAATAAAACCAACCCAAAGGGGCTATCACACTGATTCATCT